ACAAACGCAAATACGGATTTGCGAGGACAAATACAGGACAGGACAATACTCATTTTCACTTGAGTCAAGTGAGAAAAGTCGTGTAAAGTGCTTTTTCAGTACTCTCCAAGCAGAGGTTGTTGGGGAATGATCGTTACCTTTTTATATATGGCCGTTTTTTTTGTCCTGACCCCCACCTGGTCGCGGACCTTCTCTGGCTAATGGATACTGCCTGGCCAATTTGATACTGTCTTTTTTGCCACCGATAGGGATCTGCTTGGAGATTACTTTTTCAGTGCCTTTCCCAAGGTTACAAAATCGGTGGCATGGTAGGACTCGAACCCGGAACCTCTTGGTTCTGAGACGAACACTCTACACGTATACTAGTATTTCTCTTTCTTAGTCATGTTTGGCACTTTCTGACGATATAGGGCAAAGGCTGAACATCACACGTATGTATCAACATTTGCCAAGGGCTGAGTTTATGTGCTCACTGGACACTTTAGTCCCTAAGGAGTGGAGGTACTGTGTTACCCTCATCTTATCGCTACATCGACAAACATGTACACGCGTCGGGCGGTGGACTTATACAAATGCCAGGTAAACGTCGATGTTGTTTGGTTTGTTCTGCCCTAGAAGTAGCCCCGTGTGGGGGTTCAGGTATGAGGTTCTGAATGTCGGACGACTCGGACCATATTACCATCTCGGCCCAGACAACTCGGCCCATCTACCTGGTCAACTCGGCCCATTTCCCTGGTCAACTCGGCCCATTTCCCTGGTCAACTCGGCCCATTTCCCTGGTCAACTCGGCCCCTTTCCCTGGTCAACTCGGCCCAATACCGGAGACAGTAATTTAGGCAGAAACACACGCACACACGAGGTCAATTTTCTAACAAATATCATCGAACTTTAATAAGAAGTTCATTCAACTTATCCAACTGCACTTTTCTTTCTTTTTCCACAGGTGTAAGGAACGTATAACGAAAAGAACTGGCGCTACTCTTTAGTCAACAAATGAGGGCTTACATACTATTTCAACCAAAGTACTAGTACTAGTCTAGTAATCGGTAAAAAACAGTCGTTCGCATGGACATCGGTGTGAGGTATAGAAAAGGCCAGGAAACACGCTTGGTGTAGCGTAAAGGAGAGGTTAGAAATGGCTTACAGAAGAACTTTATTGCACGACAATTGCACAATGTACAATGTATGGCAAACTACATAAAGAGAGTAACAAACAATGAAATAAGTGTTGGATGAGACCTACTTTCGAATAAAACCTAACATATCTTAATTATTCAAACAGTAAGGGCTAGCACATGTCTTTGATAAAGTGTTACAATCGAATGGGCTAATCACAAAGTTGCGGTATTTTTTCTAATAACAGAGCATTCCTTTATATATCTACCTATTTTTGCGTTGTTACATGATAATATAGTTCTACATAAAAGTTCTACATAACTACAAATATGTGACAAGGCCATATTCCAACTCTTTTTCACATCTTATAGAGCTAAGTGGCTCTCACTAGATATGAGGGTCGAGATGGCAAGCTACAGCTATATTTTAATGAATGAATGAATGAATGAAGACCTTTATTGTACGCAAATACCCACTGGGTTCAGTACAGGTCACAGGAAAGACGTCGTTTACAGTTTGCAATGAATATATACAATGTACAAGCTAGTGCTAATTCTATGTACTATGGACATATAGTCTAATAATAACGATAATTTGGCTTCTTCTCGCTTCTTAGTAACGATGTAGATATATTATAGAGTCTGTGCTCACCTAGGTGTTAGGAATACTGTTTTTTTTATTCTAACAATTCAAGACGACATATGGTTACGAAAATAGCAATCCTAAACTAGCCTCTATCAGGCTTCGAGATACGGCTGGAAATAGTAGAAATTGGCCAAATAGAGAGTGATAAAATGCCAGGGGAGTTGGCCCGCTGTGGAAAACTGTACTATTCTATCGGACCAACTCCCCCGGCATGTTATCTCTCTATTTGGCCAATTTCTACTATTTCCAGCCGCCTCCCGAAGCCTGGTAGAGGCTAGTCCTAAACGTCATAGGTCTAGAAATAAGGTGGTGGCGTTTTATTACGTAATTGTTTTAAGATGCATGTGGTAAAACACATTACTAAATATTTATTTGATATTTCATTGAATTACATAATATCTGGTCCAAGTCGTGGTCAATATTACTCATACCACCCGGATATTTGCAAAAAAATATCTAAACATACAAAATTACAGAAATAACCCTAGATAAATATTGAGTTTGTTTGATAGGTACATAAATATGCATTTCATGACGTATCTATCAATCTGACAAATCAATAAACTAACTTTGCTGGCAAACACTGTAAACAAAGCGCCATATTTCACCATATTAAGAACTGCACACATTTTGCATAAGGCCATAGGGGGTTAGCTTGGTCTTAGGCCACTCCAAGTAAATTTTATGGATGACGTCCACGCGCGCATTGATTTTGGCATGTTCCTAGAAAAAAACAAGAAATTCCGCTTCCTGTAACTATGACCAAAGAGTGACGACAGTGTCGCAAGTCGTCAGATTGACGTGAAACCCGTAGAAGAAAGTGTCTATTACCATCCTGTTTTCACTGTCCACGGTTCCACCTGATTTATTGCTGTTTTGATGATGAATAAAAGACTTCTTGCTTGTTACACTGTGTCACCTCAATCAATTCGTGTCCTAACATTTGTCGTCTCTTAGTATATTTCTAATCTAGGCATCTTGTTTTTCAGGGCCCTACTTGTTTTTCTTTCGCCCTCTCGCATTAGATTTAGGGTCTCCAAAGGACGTCATCCATAAAATTTACTTGGTGTGGCCTTATCAACATAGCTTGTACCATGTATGTTGTAGAATATAGTATAATGTTACGGACGTAGATATAGTCTCACATACCACTGTATTTTCTTTCTTATGTTGTTTGTAACTGCAATTAGCCCTCGGGCATGTATTTGCAATAAACTTTCTTTCATATCAAACAAAACAAAATCATCGGTATGTCTGATTTTTAAATAAAAAATTTTAAAGTAAAATAATAATAATTTTTAAAAGAACTACAATTTGCCACCCCCTCCTGCAAAAGTATGACCGTCCGATACTTATTGCGATTCATGGTTGCGAAAAATGCCAATGTTCTCAAGTTTCTCTTCATGACGTCACAGAGTCGCTCTAAATGCGGCCAGACAAGGAATGCCTCTAAAAGCCTGGAGTCCAGCCTTGTTTGGTCCGCTCCCCAAGATACCCAGCCTGGGAGGCGGGCCAAGGCCCTAACAAGGCTGGACTCCAGGCTACTCTAAACGAGGCCAGTCACATTCACACATGTACGCTCGGTTGAAGTAGTACTATCCTCGGCTGGTGAGTCATATTGTCGGCCATGCATGGCCCTGCTATGTCATAGTGACCACATACAAACGGAAATATCTTCCGGCTATGTTAGAGGACCACTCCACCATATCTTTAACGTACGAGGGGGCGTTTCCCATAGTCAGCCGGTGGTTTGTGGTTAGGGTTTCCATCACGGCCTACCATTGGTGGGTTGTTCCATGTTAGCCCCGCCCGCTCGAGTGGTCGTTCGGAAGTGCCCACGTGGGCGGTGTGTGGCCACCGTACATTTACTGATTTAGTCGTAACCATGAGAGCACGCGTATCACGGACGACGAAATACTACTGCTTGTAAAGAAAAAGAAGGGAAAAAAACGAGAATCAGGATTTTGAAGTATTTGGAGCTGCGAACTTTTGAGAGGAAGAACGGAAAGCTATGCTGTGTCGATGGTGGATTTTTCTGACGTGTTTCTCCGCGTCGTTGTCGGTGGCGGCGACGGAGTGCTGTGGCAAGGGAGCGCAGAACAAGAGGGCTCGGGCGCCCCGCGCGACGTCCCGCGACCAGAACCTTCGCGATGCCCGCTTGCTGGCCATCCAGAAAGTCATCCTGAAACAGCTGGGCTACCGCCGGCCACCGAACGTCACACGTTCTCAAGTAACTGAGGCGGAGAAGAAGAAGATGCTGAGACTGTACGAGATGAGTGTTGAGGAGACTTCCGAGTCGAGAGAAAGTGTCGAACAGGAGGAGCTAGCCACTGCCAAGACGTTCCACAGTTTCCCTGCTACAGGTTCGTACATGTACAACTTTCCCTCTCACGGCTAGCCACTCTTGCGCAACGCCTAGCACCGACACAGCCCCCCGGCATGCAGGTTTAACCAGCCCTCTTATAAACTCATACAATCTTTTCCCGAATACCTAGGCTTGATAGAGTATTGCCAAGGAATGTGTTCAAGGATATTGACATGTGAAGACAGTAGTTGTTTCTCTCGCTATCTGGGAAACTTGTAATAGTTAAGAGGTGCGTAGACTCTTGCTATATGGCCGTCTCAAATCTTGCTAGTTTGCCCTTTTGTCTGCGAATACAGAGCATAGGAAGGGCAGTAATTCATAATTCTTAGCTCCCAAAGTATGACAGAACACAGCTGACGGAAAGGTATTTGCTTAAGGAGTCTTTTTGGGAAGGCTTCATTACTTGTTTGCATAGGGGTTAGCTTGGTCTAATCAAACCGTTGCGAAATAGTTCTCTCACCTACTAGTATCATGATCGTTATCGGGCCACAACATACAAACACGGAAACAACACAGCAATAGCACATGCCATCGTCGTCTTATTATCACACCTTTTGTTTATTTATTTGTTTGTTTGTTTGTTTGTTTGTTTGTTTGCTTGCAAGTTTATTTATTACCTACCAGGAAATTCAAACTACTCGTGCCTTCTTGTGTTTGGGACGAGGTTTTTTTTTTTAGATAGACCAGGCAAGACAAAAGGGTTGGGCGATTTCTTAGTAAAGGTGGTCGAGCAAGGACAATTTTCCATGTCAGGCTGTTCGATGTGGTGGTCTTTTCAGCCGAAAAACAAACTGTTTCTTTGTTTATTTATGCTACTAAAGCACGCGGAATAGATTTTGATTTGATTTGATTTGATTTATTAGGTTGATAACACATATGTTTGCAGCCAGGACTGCCCAACTAGCCGGAGGCTATTATAAAGGGCTAGCCCTCACAACAAGAACATAAACAATTCGGAACAGTTAACAGTTAACAGTGTCAGTTACAATTCAGATAGATATTAGATAAACGAACTGGGCGATTTCTTACTGTAAGGATAATTTTTCACGCACGGCCCATGTGTGTATTTTTAGTGTATTAATCACGGTGTATTAATTCTGCCTTTTTGGCCGAAAAAAATGTATGCAAAAGTGTGGTGTGCCATGTCCCTAGTCTCGCAACTATGACTCCTATTCGGCTGCGAGTGAGCCCGATAGGTACCGTGTAACAAATGCTTCTCAGACACAGCGTGGCCTGCTTTCCTGGGCTATCCTTCAGTTCACGATTTCGCGGACACGCCAAGCTAGTGAAAAGAAATTGTGCTGCTTGGAGGAGACGCTTTGTGACCTTTACCTTTTAATTACTTTTAAAAAAACACACGCGGATCAAGTCACGGGGTCTGAACAAATAGCAATTGACGTCAATCTGTGGGTACCCTGTGTTCAGCCGCCTGCACGTATCAGATTTGTCTCTATTAAGGCTCAAAGTTTTCTTAACGTCGCAGATAAGAAGAAAACAAGACTCGGGGCGTCTGAGGCACTCCTCTTTTTTTTTATTCCAACATTTCAGGACTAGACGTGGTGACAGCACACTCAAGTTATATCAATTTATTTTATGCCGCCACCAACGCAGAGGACGAATACGGGACAAGACAATACTCATTTTCACTTGAGTTAAGTGAGGAAAGTCGTGTTAAGTGCCTTTTCCAAGGGCACAAGATCGGTGGCATGTCAGGACTCGAACCCGGGACCTCTTGGTTCCCAGTCGAGCACGCTGCCGCTACGCCACACGACCCCACTCTTCAGGTCGACGATTTGGTAGTCATTTCGATACGTTTTACTGTTGGATTCCAGGTCATTCTGAATCGTGTTTTTTTTTTTATTATTGAGTAAGGCCACACCAAGTAAATTTTATGGATGACGTCCGCGCGCGCATTGATTTTGGCCCATTCCGAGAAAAAAAACAAGAAATTCCGTTTCCTGTAACTATGACCAAAGAGTCACGGCAGTGCCTCAAATCGTCAGATTGACGTGAAACCCGTAACGTGAAAACAGGACAGGACGACAACTGCTGTTCCACCTGATTTATTGCTGTTTTGATTATGAATAAAAGACTTCTTGCTTGTTACACTGTGTCACCTCATTCAAGTTGTGTCCTAACATTTGTCGTCTCTTAGTATATTTCTAATCTAGGCATCTTGTTTTTTAGGGCCCTTCTTGTTTTTTTTCGCCCTCTCGCATTAGATTTAGGGTCTCCAAAGGACGTCATCCATAAAATTTAGTTGGTGTGGCCTAACATAGAAACCTAGAACACACAGTGGTGGGCAACTCTAGCAGGTTGCTAATCTTAACCCACTGACAAAGAAGAAGTACAACAAGTAACAAAACAGCAAATAACAAAACAGAAGATGGGCGATATAAACGATGACTAACATGTAAAAAATGGATCATAATGTTTTGAAAAACTTCCTTTGAAAATAGCTTTTTCTGAACTTGCTTCCTGCGCTTTTTAATACCTCATTTTACTTTTTTTTCCATTCCAACATTTATTACAAAACACGTTCAAGTTTGATTTTTCCATCTGATTTTTATGCCACCACAAACGCAGACAAACGCACGAACGGACAACAGACATGTTCATTTTCACCTGAGAAAAGTAAGAAATTTGCTGTAAAGAGCATTTCCCACGGACAGAAGACTCGGTGGCATGGCAAGACTCGAACTCGGAACCTCTTGGTCCTAACGCTCTGTTGTTACGCCAGCACTTTACTTGGTTGAAAATCTTTCTACCTGCTGTCCTTACAAGACCTTTCCCGTCTGTATACTGCTGCTAATTGTGTAATTTTCAAATCGTAGCCCGGTATTTCTCAGATTTACAGAAGTGTAGACGTGGGGGAGACCGGCGCAGTCCTCTTGGCTGGAATGAATGTTATTTACGTAAATTCAAATCCTCCCTCTGTCCAATCGGATCTAAGTTTAGCCTACAGACTTAACGGCTAACACCTTGTATTGTAATTTCATATTCAATTGACGTCATAGGCCTACTTTACACGTAACTTTTTCAAGTCAACTAGAACTCAAGACGACTTGAGCTAGTCGACTTGAGCGAAAATTGCCCTGTGTAAAGAGAAATAATTCAACTCAAGTCGCATTCTAGTCAAGATGACTTGAGTCGTATTCAAACCAGACTTAAGTCGACCAGCGGGGTGCTGAGTCCGCTACCTTTGCGTGTGTAAATGGGCGAAGTCGACTTGAGCGTCTCTGCGTAGTAGTCAGGCAAGACCGACCCACCGAGTTGACTTGGGGGGAGGGTGGCACAGCGGGAGTGCCAAGTCGCTTTGTGGCCCCGTGTGTAAACAGAAATTTTTCAAGTTGACTTTGCTGAGTCGACTTAGAAATGGTCTGTGTAAAGTGGGCCATAGAGTTTCTTACCACCTACTATTTCGTTTCAAGTTCTATTGTTCTACCAGTGAGGCCATGTTGATTTGATTATATGGATGACATCATCGCGAGCATGAATTTTCGGCCGTTTCAAAGAAAAAGTTTTCAACCATACTGTAAATCGTACAAAACAGTTGCAAAATTAGCAAATATATACCGTGAAGTAAACGATACCAATGTCGTAGAATGCTAAAATCAAACGAAAAAGATGAAAATGTAAAGAAATGAATTTGTCGAGTAGATTATTCGCCATACCATACTCTGTGTCATTTGTTCAACCTTCATGACCACGTAGATTTCATAATGAAAGCAACTGGGTTTTTTTTTGCACAACTTTTTTTATTCGCACGCGCGCATCAGTTTTGGGGTTCCCAGAGGATGTCATCCATATAATCAAATCAACCTGGCCTTAGATGGAATAATGGAAGTGTCTCAGACCCAGATTTCGACTTAATGCCCCACTTTGGTGCACTTGGCTGGAATAGGAATTCAGAAGGCCTAAATCATAGCTTAGAAAAAACTAAAAGCCGACACTAAGATTTGAATATTTTCAAACAAATAGCCCTGCAGTTCCTGAACAAGCCGAACTCATGTCACTTCTTCCCCAGCATGAGAGCTACCTGCCATCCACATTTCGTCACCACAGCATGTGTAGATCATGAGATATCAAAACCGGAAGTTCAGCTGCAGTACCATAACAAGCCGCTAGGGGGCCCAAAATCTCATCATTTCCAGGTCTCATCAAGACCTACCCACCTACCAAATATCAACATAATACATCTAAGCTTTCTTGAGTTATGCTGTTGACAGACACACACACACACACACACACACAGACACACGGCCACGAAAACATAACCTTCTTGGCGAAGGTAACAAATAAGTAAATTTTCCCCTGCACGATATATTTTGTCTTCTTTCTTATTTTACTTTCGCTTGATTTTCTTTGACACTTCGTTCATTTTTAACAGTATATAAAAGCTTCTAAAACATAATGTTAAAGCTTCTAAAACACGGAACATGTAAACAACTTAATAAATGCTACCTTCACCTTAAAAGACTTGCTCAGCGACAGATTACGTATCTGTACATATATCGCCGGTATAATCGTCCTTCGGCGTAACACACCAGCTTTGCAGGCCTTGATATACTGTAAGAACATTTAAGAACATTTTGCATCATAATGTGACACGTGTCAGAGTAGCTCTGTCGGTCTTTGAGCACAGATAATTCGGTGAGGCTTTTGTGTGAAATTTGATACAATTGTCCGTCGAAAACGTCATGTAAAGAGAAAAGGGATCTGGGAATTTGTCTGAACAAAATGGGAAGGGTTTAGACTGGCTTTGTACGTAGAAGGTTACGGGTTCAAATCCCACCCCTACATGAAAAACTCGGCTAAAACCTAAATGTGTTTTTGTCCCGTTCAGCTCAGCCAAGCATAAAGCCCACTTTCATCTTCATCTTTGCCGGGGCTCTAAGATGTTATAAGAGTCCCGGCTACACCCCCATATAGCCCCTATTGGGGCACTTTAGGGGGGGGGGGCTTGGTCTAAGGCCGGCAGGCCTCCAGCCTGGCCCGGAAGGACTCAACGGTGGGAGCCATGACTACCGGGCCAGGCAAGGCGTTCCATTGTGGGATCGTGCGGGGGAAAAGGGAATATTTATAGACGTCTGTACGTGCGTGTATGGGTTGGTATTTATACTGATGACTCCCTCGGGTACGCCCCTGAGCTTGTACGTACGTACGTACGTTAACACGTTGGAACGTTCGTACGTTTAAGCCATTTTTAATAGCTGCCTTTCATTGCACAGTCATGCCTTCAAATATCAGAGTTATCAACCAAGAATTGAGGTGTTCAAAAACTCGTATTTCCCCCAGAACTATCGTAGAGTGGAACTCGTTGCCACCAAGCACAGTTGGGGCATCTTCACTAGAAAGCTTTAAACAACTCCTGCAATTAAATGTGCAAAGATTAAGTGTAACATGTACAAGTCGTTCGGTGTGATGTAGCTAGCTGCCGCCGCGCCGCGTGTCTGCGAAGCTGGTGTGTTACGCCGAAGGGCGGTTATACTGGCTATACTGATACAGAAGAAAGCACTTAAGATTGGCTACAATAAATTCATATTCTCATATATATACGGGTAATACAGTGCATTAACTCAATACCATCACATCAAAATTCTGCATCAGTTCTTAACAAACGAAATAAAAATATACTTTAATTTATCGCCATTTAAAATCAAAAAAGACCTGGACATTCAAACTTGCTAGGTTTGTGCTCTGTAGTACGGAGGCCCTGCAATGTAAAATGAAGCTTGGCATCAAGGATTACTGAGATATGGCTCTCGCTTTTATACTTAAGAACTTTATTGATACAACAAATGTACAGTGACTTTCGTAAGGTCTGGAACTGCATGTAGATATACTGACAAATACATGGGTACAACGAAATTGACATAAGTACAAAACAATAGATGAGTCAACTAATACTACTTGTTCTAAGGTCTAAACATTCTTTGATATATTTACCTATTTGTACACAGTAAGGGTTATTACCTTCTAGGATGAAATTGAATTTATCTATAAAGCATGAAATGTAACAAATTCTGTTGAGCAAGCGGAGAGAAGGTTGAACAGCTTTGTGCGTTTATCGTTATATAGTGTACAATTCAAAATAAAATGTTGTTCGTCTTCAATATCATTGGGACAGAGTGGACAAAACCTCTGGTCGCGAGGGATTTTTTTTATATCTTCCTAATTCTATATTCAATTTATGGCTAGAAATTCTCATCTTTGTGATCGATCTACGAACTTCAAAATTATGTATTTCAGAAAGGTAATGTTCTTGTCCGTACCTCGTCCTTAACATCGAATAGACAGAAAGTTTTGAATTGTTTTGGATAGAAGTATGGTATTCTTGTGTGTAAATATCCTGTAAACGACGTCGCAATTGATTTGTAAACATGTTAACGTGATACAACCTGGGGTTTGTCCATACATATCCAAAACCGTTATAATTAAGAATGTCGTGTACATGATTTACCCAGTCAGAATCAGCGGAATGTAAAATATTGTATGCCTCGTGGAGTAGAGCGTCTTCGGGTAAATTTTCTAAACGGTGCCATTCTACATGTATATCTACTTTTAAAACTATCATAACGTTGGTATACAGGGTACCTACTTTAAAACTAACAGAACGTTGGTATACAGGATAAAGAGTGGATATGCTTCACATAAATAGGAAACATGGTAAACGGCTATTTTTAAGTTATAAAGGTACTGTCTGCGCGATGAACGAGAAACATCTGTAGTACAATGAGGCGACCCTGTATCCATCTATTTTTAGAGACATGTGCGGAAGTAGGGACAACATTTGGTATTGATTTTACAAAACGTCGATGGTTCGAATTATCAGGAGAGCCTGGAGATAAATATGTACACATATAACGCCACTCTTGGCCTTGACCGTCCTCTTTCTTGGCATGAATAAATTGAATGTTTTATAGCAAATTCATGCCCGAGGGCTAATTGTAGGAACAGACGAAACATTTGGTATAAAAAAAACAGACAATTAGTACACATAGAACTAACTCCTAAGAAACTACTGGTAAAAACTACTGGGTTTGACTTCTTTTTTGAAGACAGAGGAAGACAAAATATCCTACTTTTTCTGTAATTTGTGGGTTTTCGGATGTTAAGAGGAGAGTAGTTTTCTTCTCATTTGTATATGTGTGAAAGTTGGGGTAGAAATTTGGAGGCTACGTCAAATGAATGAATGACAACTCTACGATTCTGGTCCACTTTTAACTGTGACGGTCACAGATCAACAGCTATAGACGGATTTGCCTCACTAGTTGTTCCAATCCAAATTAAAGAAACTGTGGATAGGAGAAGACGAGAAATTTCAATTTACCAAGCCAAGGTCAACAATAATAAAAAGAAAGTTTATTGCAAATACTTGCCCGAGGGCTAATTGCAGTTACAAACAACATAGAAAGAAAATACAGTGGTATGTGAGACTATATCTACTTCTAACATTATACTATATTCTACAACATGACATGACACTAGTTTTACTGGGTTTGAATTCTTCTTTTTAGGCAATGGAAGACGAATTTACCCACTTCTTCTATAATATGTGGGTTCTTTGATTTTAGTAGTAAAATTGCTTTTTTGTGGTAAGGAATGGTGGGGAAGTAAGGCAGCATTTTGGACACGGTGGTAAATAATTGATTTCTGATAACAATTTACAGTACCTGTGAAACCACGCATGGAATATGGCGTAGTGTTTAGCGATCCTGCTTTTGGAGCAGACGTCCGTGAGTTCGAGGCCTTAGCCTCATATCAGGCTCGGTGGTAGGCACTGTGGCTCATTCTGTGCTATTTTCTGATACACCGACCCTCTAAACTTACAACGTAGCCTGATCGCTTGCCATCACACCCTTGTAGCATTTCGAAAACTGCACCTAACAAGGAAATCCGCTAGGAGGCCAACAATCACAAACGACATATACATGATACATATCGAGATCGCAGCACACACCAACACCAAATATCATTACGAACCAAACCCGACGATTGTATCGTCCCAACAAAACACAGCAACACAAAACAATACCTCCACTGCGGAGGTAACAAGCCAAAACGTCGTTGTTACAGCTCAAATCAGTTTCCTTGTCATTTTACGAATCAACTTTGTGGAAACGATCCCTAATGTCTACAGCTTTACACGTGTACCTTATCAATAGCACTGGTACTGAATAAGTGCGGCATTCTTTTCGTATCTCTCTTCGGTCTCCGCTATCTTTCTATCCGACCAAAATAACGCGCCGTGTGTTGGAGGTGAGGGTGTGGTTCCTATAGGTGGACCCAGTGTGTACACCCATAGAATACACACAGTGCATGGGAACTAGTCAATATTATCATTCTTCACGGCCATCCTTGGTTACCATAGCACTGACTTCTGAGGACGACGTCTGTTGCCAAGAAGCCTGTATGTCAATACAAAACTCCGGATAAGTTCACACAAACTCCACATAGAAAAAGGGCAGACATAACCGCATTCCTCTACATTTGCCAATTGTGTGATTTAGATAAAGATTGAGGATGAGTGTCATTTTGTAGTTGATTGTACATTATATAGAAATGAGAGAGATTTCCTCTATACTTTTATTAAAGATAATTTAATGGTTCCAGACTTTTAGATGGAACAGAAAAAAATTGTATTTCTTATGAAATTTGACAAACCATTATCATTAGCTCCATATGTTCGTACTTTTACAACTGCCTCAAGAAGCAAGAAGTTGAACCTGTAAATAGTAGTTCCCCTTTAGTTTGTACGATATTAATGTAATTTTTTTCCTGTCTATTCATGACCTGCACTTAGCTTGTAAGAGCATAAACGTACAATATAAGTCTTCCATTCAATACCTAAGAAAGAAAGAAAGAAAGAAAGAAAGATAGAAAGAAAGAAAGAAAGAAAGAAAGAAAGAAAGAAAGAAAGAAAGAAAGAAAGAAAGAAAGAAAGAAAGAAAAAGAAAGAAAGAAAATGAAAGAAAAGACGAGAGGCTAAACTTCAGGACTAAAGATAAGACCCATTTGGAGCAATAAGACAATGTTTTGTGTCACAGAGAATATATAACGTCTACATCTGTGTTTTGTGTTGTGATTCCAGGCGGGCCCCCTGTACAGGTGTCCACAGAAGACTGGGAGGACGGCCTGCACAAAGTTCGCCTCTACTTCCAGCTGGACTTTCCACAGACGCACCACCGACACAGGCACCGACGGGTGGCCAACGCAAAATTGAAACTCTACAAATCAGAGATATTCCCAGAAAACTTGCTCAGAAGCACGGACGGACTGGTAACTCTTAGTTTTTACCAGCTACTGGAGCCTCCGAGGACAGGGAAAACGACGCTGAAGCGTCTGATCGAGTCGCGCACGACGTCCGTTTTACAAACGGGGTGGGAGAAAGTAGACGTAACAGCCGCCGTGCAGAGTTGGATGACGTCACCCGAAAAGAACTATGGGATTGAAGTGGTGTGCGAGCACGAGCCGCTGGATGACGTCATGACGTTTTACGGGACGGACAGAGACAGTGACGTCAGAAGACCTGCTGAGACGGACGATCCGGACGTCTTGGCGCCAAGACTGATTGTCTTGACACAAGAGGTCAAATCTTCACAGAGAGAAAAACGGAGCTATGAGCCAGAAGATTGTCAAGTGGTAAGTTATCCGCACAAATCAAACGTAGCAGGTCGGCAGAACGTACTGCACCTGTGCAAAACCCATCATGCATTGCGCATAGCACTTCGGCAATTTTTTCGACCTTTATTTAACCTTGAAATTGCCCTTAGGCTGTGGCCGCTTTTCAAGCGTTCAAGTGGAGAGGTCACGGGTCCTAATAGCACATAAAAACAAAATTAACATATTACAATTCCAAGGAAGAGTACTTTTCAAAAATATAAGGTCGTATTCGCGTATATAAGGTTGACATACAGTCTGTAGTTTCTAAATGTTATGTCAGAAAAGATGTCGTCTGCAACGGACAAAATTCTGATGCAACGTTGACCAAACATCCAAAGGAAAGCGTGGAAAAATCAGGGTTTGCGCAGGCGCAGTATGTTCTTCCGACGTGCTATCAAACGTGCAAACGCCAAATAATTTATGTGTTTTCTCTTTTTTTCAATAAACATAAACCAAATATAAAATGCACTTATGTTTTACAAATCACCTCTTTAAAAAAGTACCCCGAAAACAGCCATAGCAAAAAAAACAGGTTGTTGTTGTTGCTACCGTTGTTTATAATCTCCATGACAACGTACCGTTACCAGGACGACGGAGAGACGCGCTGCTGCCGCTACCCTCTGTACGTGAATTTCACGGAGATCGGCTGGGGGGACTGGATAGTGGCGCCGGAGGGGTTCAACGTCTTCTACTGTAACGGCACATGTCCTTACAGGTAAGAAAGAAGCTTCCGTTATTCTTAGCCTCTACCAGGCTTCAGAGGCGGCTTTAAAGAGAAGAAATTGGCCAAATAGACTGATACCATGCCTCTTCAGATCGACTGGCAAAGTCGTTTAGAGGACTAATCCCTTGGCATGTTACCTTGCCACCTCCGAAGCCTGATAGAGGCTACTTTATTAATAGTTTGTCCTAATGAGATTACTAGTATACGATTATGTCAAGTTTTGGTAACATTGGTCACTTGCTTGGGCACCTTAGCGGTCTCTTTACATACTGCAGCTGTTTGCATACTGGTATTTTGCAAATAAGATGGAAATTATCAAGATATTTTGTTAGGATTTATCCCTTCGTGTTGATACAAGTGAATTCTATAACAATATTTGTCAACCTTTCTGTCAATTTCATATTTAAAATACGTACACTTCAAGTTGTGATTACTAGGGAGAATATAGCATAAAGATTTTGCCCATTTTGCCCACAGAAAATCGACTTGTTGCTACAGATAGATTTGATTATATATTTAAATGTAACAGCCCACACAATGCAAAATAGGTAGGTACATAAAAGATTGTTTTGTTATTAGAAAGAATACTGATTTGCTGTCACATGTACCCATAGATAACTCCGCCTGATTGTAAAGCCTAAGCTAACTTTTGATTATTTCTTTTCTATATATAAGTTGTTAAGTTTTATTCTATACCTATCTATTTTACTATGCTACTTATTGTTACCTATTTACCATACAATGTAACCTGTACAATTGTCGTGCAATAAAGTTCTTATGTCTCTTATGATTTTAACCCAATTTTCTTTTAAATTACAGATACAAGTCGGCTAACGAACATTCCCTGATCAAGTCCACACTCCACCACCTAAACCCAGACTCTCCACAGCCGTGTTGCGTGGCCAAGAGACTCAGTCCTCTGTCGGTACTCAACTACGACGACTCCGACCCGCCACAACTCATAGTCACACCGCTAAACAACATTGTAGTAGACCAGTGTGCATGTACGTAGCAGTAACTCTTATACGATATTGTGTTTGATCATTTGAATGTATAGCATGTCGGCAGAACGTACTGCACCTGCACGAACCCCGTAATGTATTGTGCATAACACTTCGGCAGAACGTCTCATATAAGGTCGTATTCGCGTATATAAGGTTAACATCCCGTCTGAAGTTTCCAAATATTCTGTCGGAAAAGATATCGTCTGCAACGGGAAAAATTCTGATGCAACGGTGACCAAAAATCCAACGAAAACCGTGAAATATCGAGATTTTGCGTGAGCGCAGTACATGTTGCCGACGTTCTTAAATGTATGTATGTATGCATGTTTGTGTGTGAATGGATACAAAAAGGGTTATCCAAACTAGTTTGATTTGAATGGGGAAAACACGATAAAAAATACATCGATGTGTGTGTGTGTTGGGGAGGGTATGGCGTGCATGTACAGGGTACCATAAAGTTGCAGGGCGGTATTTATTTGAGTTATAAAACATAATATCTATTTATTTTCTGTCAGGAAAGACGGAGTTACCGACAATCAGGTATATACTGAGCGAAGGGGACGTATATTGAATTGCTGCTATGTGCAAAAAAAACATCTTTCGTATTAAAATCTTACGCCTGTTAGAGCAATTATAAAGCCGTATTGTATCAATCTTTTGTTAAGCTACGGTCACAACCCGCCGTACGTGCTTCTGCGTGCTGTCTACGTGCAAAAACGTGAGCAAACGTAGGGCATCCGTGCGTGGTGAGTACCGCCTCCGTACGGAATCCTACGGATTTGGGAGCACGCAGACACGCCGTAGAACTTTAAGTGCATGTAAAACCTTTTCTACGTGCGGTCTACGGATTCACCACCCGTGCGTGCGAGTGACGTGCGTCGATGCATGCCACTCCTTCCCCACGTTTTCAGAAAAAAACGTAGCAGACGTAGCCTCCCAAAAAGCGTACGGACAAAAAGCACGCACGGCGGGTTGTGACCGAGGCTTTACATACGTACAATTGAGGTATGTACTAGGGTACATTTACACACTCATTGAGAAAGTGCTCACACAACAACAAAGTTCCGTACAGTTATAGTAAAGAAAGAACTTTCAAAGCAAAATCCTAAATTGAACGTAACTAAAGAAGTCAAATGGTTCATTTTAAAGGTATACCGTGTAGTAGATAGATTTGTGAAATATGTATCATATATTATATTGTCCAGTCTTGTCGCTAGCTATAGATACACATTGCAGAGCATAGAAGTCATTTGAATAACACTTCTCATATCTATACATTTATCATCACATAGCGATGATAGTTGCAAAAGAATTATGTAGACGGTAGTAGAAAATATGTCTTAGTTCATTTGTCCAGCCGGACTGGTTTATTATTAATGGTGGGGGGTAACTGATCTTTATGTTATTCCATTCATTGCTGTCAGGTATGGTGGGGAGAAAATTATCCCCAAGGACGTTTTGGCACAACCCAAAATGGAGACTCTCTAGTTGTGCATGTAGGTTACTGCTTGCATTCATGGAGCTTTCACGATTCGAATAAGTGTGTTAGATTTTAGTACATGTGCCTTTAAGTTAAAGTGTGGTGTGAGGTTTAAACGTGACAGTCGCCATATTGTCACATACCCCATTTTTTATGGGGATCAATTATATATATCTATCTACAGTTTGGTCTGTGACCAGGTACATAGAGACTATTTACCGAACCGAATGCGTCATTCTTACGTCGTTTTTTTATCAATTTTTGATTGTATTGTTGGCCAAGCACACGGTGCCGGTGCTTCTTTGATAAATATATATACTGTATATATATTTATAGGATGCTGTTCCGTATGGATTTCCTTTAAAATGTCAATGACACCAAAAGTTTCTGAAATAAATTTATAAAAAGCATTGACGTTTGTTACTCTTACAGTTAACATTTGTACTTATTTGGGTACCGGTAAATGCGTAATTTGGGTAATTCTGTGCCCCCGGTTTGAACTATATTTGTATCTTTGTATCACATAGTTTCCATGTTATCAAAATGCCTCTGTGCCCTTTCGTACTACTTTTTCTAGTACCTCTATCAGAAATGATATCAAGGGTTCTCTATATGGAAAGTATTTATGACAACACTCACCTATTAATAGCACTAGTAGTTGGGAGGATAGCCTATCAAGAACACCGTTGCCAACGTTTTTGTTGGCATACAACGATATAGTAATCAGGGATGAATGATAAAATGTACCTTGAAGTTTTGCGATAAAAATTCCCAGTAATCTAAAAGGGAAACACCAACAAGAATTTGTCAACTATTTGCCAATAGTGAAATATTTAATGCAAATTCGTGCCCGGGGGCTAATTGCAAATTACAAAACATAAAAGAACAATAAAAGAGTATAAAATAACTCAAGTCTACATGATGAAGGTAGCTGTCTAGAACTGTAACTATGTCTAAAAAACTATGTCTGAAGGGTTTGACTTCTCTTCTGTAAACCATGGAAGACGTAATGTCCCACCTTTTCCAAAATTTGTGGATTTTGGGAAGTAAAAAGAAGAATAGTTTTTTCTTGGTAGGGGTAAGGCCTTACCGTGAGTAAAACTAAGAAGTTTTCTCCCTCCACTTAACCCCGTAAATCTTCCAAAATCACCCCACAGGCACTTGTGCAATAACTACCACCGTAAGTGGGGTATATTTAGGGACAAGAGTCTATAAACATGCCAATGTGCTGTTTGCTACATTCCTATGTGAATGTGTATGTGGTAGTTCTGCACCAAAAATAAATCAGATTAAAACTTCAAGTCATAATAGACTCGGACTAATCTTGGAAAAAATTTTAATATAGAGGACGGGCTATTGGTTTATTCACTTTCCATAAAAAAAAGTATGACATTTACGCATGATATGCAATCACATAATTTCGTGAAAATCTAAATTAGACAAAACAGTGTCCTAAACCGAATCGTTGTTGTTGAAAATGTTTCTTCTTTTTTTCTTACCACCTTCTTCAAAGTTCTGAATGACTGCCAGGGACAAGATAATACCATAGGCGCCAAAGGTTCAAGGTAGTAACTTTAACAGTTGTGGAATTTCTGGCACACATTTGCTCGCACTCAGCCAACTATTTCAGAGCAACACAAACTTTTGGGAGACTGTACTTATCAACAGACAGGGTCACTAAACGTCCATCAAAACATGGGAAACACAACATGGGAGGGGCGTTAACATTGATTCTTCACTCACGTAGCCTTCATTGCTTCATTTCTTACGGCCACAGCAAGTAATTTTTATGGATGACATCAGCGCGCGCATTAATTTTCGCCTGATTTGGGGGGAAAAACAAGACATTTTGTTGCCTTCTGACAGTGGTCACCTTGTCGAAAATGGGCAAAGATGTCTGTTGCCATGCTGGAAGGTGGATGGCAGATAACTATGAAGAGAGGAGACAAGACAAATCTCTGATTTAATGTTTTGTTTCTTACTTTGATGCAGTGATATGTGATGCTGGCTGTGTATATGTGATGTTCCTACTGAATCAAAACCATTTGTACAATGATTCCGTCAAAATTTTAAACCGTACGAACCTTGTTTTTTTCGGCCCGCCTGTTTTTTTCTGCCCGCTCGCATTAGATTTGGAGTCTGCGGAGGATGTCAGCCATAAAATCTACTTGCTGTGGCCTAACGGCTATACTACCCTACGATGTTCAACAGTCGCTATTTACTCGTACGATAAGATACCGACCGAAACGGGAGCAAGAAAAATGGAAAAAAACACTTAATATCGAGCTGGACGCTGATAAGAAGAAATCACATATCAATTCGTCTCCCCTTATCAGAATTCTCAGCATTCTTTGTTTTATTGTGTCTGCCTGCTGCGCTGGGTATAGAACTGTGTTTACGTTTGTGGTGTCACCAAGGTTATACAAATCAACAAATAACATTGATGATCCAGTACTTGTTACTACGTGCATGATCAAAAGGCAACAACCGTTACTTAACCACTCAAAAACGCTAGCCCTACTAAACCTTTCCCGCGTTTTCACCATACATAACATACTAAGGTAAACTTTCAAAATAAAACAAAATTCTACGTGCATTTGTTTCTTAGAACAAAGAATATAGTCCATGGACCAGAAAAGATATCGGTACCACCTGAGGTGGCAAATTCTCATTACGATTTTTGAAAAGTAGGGTGTCCGTGGAATACATTTTCATATGATAACCGTTGCAGATTAGTAGCGTTGACCTTGCTTTCTGACCTTGAACTTTGATCGAATATGGACCACGTCCTTTTGCACTTAGGCCACACCAAGTAAATTTTATGGATGACGTCCGCGCGCGCATTGATTTTGGCCCGTTCCTAGAAAAAAAAACCAAGAAATTCCGCTTCCTGTAACTATGACCAAAGAGACACGACAGTGCCGCAAATTGTCAGATTGACGTGAAACCCGTAACGCGAAAACAGGACAGGACGACAACTGCTGTTCCACCAGATTTACTGCTGTTTTGATGATGAATAAAAGACTTCTTGCTTGTTACACTGTGTCACCTCATTCAATTTTTGTCCTAACATTTGTCGTCTCTTAGTATATTTCTAATCCTAGGCATCTTGTTTTTTAGGGCCCTTCTTGTTTTTTTTTCGCCCTCTAGCATTAGATTTAGGGTCTCCAAAGGACGTCATCCATAAAATTTACTTGGTGTGGCCTTATGTCTATTTACAATGATGTTCTACAGACCTCAGTCCTCTTTTACTAATTAATAGTAAAACCCTGCTAAGCCCAATTCGGCCTTGAGGTCCTGTTAGCTGATACATTAAACAAAATTATTTATAAGCACACTTCAAAGTGCTTTGGAATGTGACAAACATGAAATCGTAGCACGTTTATAGTCAGTGGTTTCTAAATATATCCCACTTATTGAACAAGTGCCTGTATGTGGGGTGATTGTGGAAATCGAAGATTTAGTAGTTTTGACACCAGGCATGTTTAAGGGGTCAGGGTGGGGGGTAGGAAAAGCAAGCGAAGTGTTTAAATAACATATGCACCACAACCAAATACTGTGTTCGATCCTAGAAACCTGATTTTTTTTTGTGACGCCTCAGGGGCGGAGCCGTTGGTGAAGTACTGCGATTGAGTTAAAGATATTCTAAAAAATTCCTCGAATGCATTCACCAGGGAATTAAATTTTGTCAACAAGATAACTCAAGAACGGCTGGATGGATTGGTTTCATACTTGGTGCGTTGGTAGAAGTGTGACAAAAACTGGAAATGATGAGATTTTGGTCCCCCTAGTGGCTTCCCTTGGTATTGCAGCGGAACTTCTTGTTTTGATATCTCGCGATCTGGACATGCTAAGGTCATTAAGTTTGGATGGTAGGTAGCTCTTGTTTGGCCCCCCCTAGCAGCTTCTTCTGGAACTGCAGGTTGGTTTGTTTAAAAACCTTCAAGAGAGGATAACTAAAAAACCGGTTGACGGATGGTCGTGATTTTTGGTGTATAGGTAGCTTTTAAAAGTGATGCTTGGCATAATTAAATTACAATTATGCAAATTATGATCTTAGGGCTAGTCTGGATAAGGAAATCGGCCCCGTTTGGGATTGTGTTCTCGCCGCAAAAGTGTCACTTATAGCGGCAAGATAGCGGCACATAGCGGCAAGAAGCAGAACTCCAGTCAGAAGCTCGGAGGAAGGTGTCTGATAGACACTGAAACGTAAGCAAGGTAGGAAAAGTTTGGTTGTGTAAAAGAAAACCCCTTTATCCCATACTCTATCAACCTAATGAAACTATTTTCGGGAGGTTTAAGATTTGTAACATAACAATTAAAGGTTCATAATATCTTTGTTCCGAATTGTTTATGTTCTTGTTGTGAGGGCTAGCCCTTTATAATAGCCTCCGGCTAGTTGGGCAGTCCTGGCTGTATACATATGTCTTATTCAGCCTAATAAAGCAAATCAAATTAAATCTTTGTTGAGTTTGTGCTGTTATTCATATGCATAATTCATGAGCGCTTTGGTTACCGAAGTGTGAACTTCCACCAACTGTCGCAAGGTGGCGCTGGGCGTCTGAAACAGCCACCCGAGGTGGACCGGAGGTAGACGGACATCATAGAGAGAGAGGAAAGTGCGACAAGGACGGTGGACTGTAACGGACTGACGGAGAAACACACGGCCCGGAGTGGAGACAAAATTACGCGGGCAAAACGAGTCACCAATACCGCCCGTGTGGCCACAGATGACAATAGCCCATGGAAGGCCATTCACCAATTTCACACTTCCCATAATGCCTAGTAAAGATCACGGATATGACGTAAGACCACCTTCCTCGATATAATATTTCCAACAAGTTCTATCGGCAAACTCGTCAACTATTGTTTTGAATTATTAATCTAGTATAAAGCGCATGCCATAATCGCATTTTTGTTGAAATTAGAGAAAATGGTGTACCCACCTTCTACCTCCTACTCGCACGGTCGCATTACGTATATCCGCTTCTTACGTCATATCCAATCCATATCCGTGATCTTTACTAGGCATTATGGGAAGTGTGAAATTGGTGAATGGAATGAAGCCAAAAAGATAATCCGTCTCCTGATTTAGAAAGACAGTCCGTAGAAAGAGTACCAACGACAGAACGGGAGGGAGACGGTAGGAAAAGTTTATCGGGAGGCAGAAGTGGCTGGTGGGGCAACAGTTACGCCTCAGCCCGCTTGAAAGAGACGGTAGTACGAGCTCGGATGGAGACCAGCAGGTGAGGAACGGGTACACAGACCGGGAAACCCACGGGTCCTCGGCTAGGCCCGCTATCAGAATACATCGGTAGGGTAAACCTAGCCTGGGTACCATCTTGGTTAGTTTACGTCCGCTCCCACAGTCGCTACCGCCAACCACTGTGGTAAAGTATTGCGGTTGAGTTGAAAAATATTCTAAGAATAGCTTATTCCTCGAAAGCATTCCCTTTAAATTTTTTAATTTAAATTTTGTCAACAAGATAATAACTCAATATAGGCTGGATGGCTTGGCTTCATACCTGGTACGTTTGTAGAAATGTGACAAAAACTGGAAATGATGCGAGATTTTGGTCCCCTTAGTGATTTCCCTTGGTACTGCAGCGGAACTTCCGGTTTTGATATCTCGCGATCTGGACCACCAACCACTGTGGTAGCGACTGTGGGAGCGGACGTAAACTAACCAGGATGGTACCTAGGGTAAACCCTGAACACTTCGAGAAAAGAAGAAGCGGTGATTTGAGCTACACCAGGCCGCCAGCACTTACAGAATGGACTATTTCTCCACAGGACAGAAGAGATATGAACCTGCATGGAAACGGACAAAACAGTCCTAGACAAAATGTCGAAGCGGAAGCTTCGAAGAATCTATATGCCACCTATAACGGTCTAGACCCATCGGTCATCAGTTGGTAGTGTCTATAAAGGGCAGACAGTACTATTAGATTTGGCCATAGGAACACATGCTTAAATACACTATTAAAAGTCCTCATGAAAGTACTTGCCTATACTTCAATCTCAAAAATTTTTCTGCTCCAGGTAGCCACAAGGGTCTGATTCCCAAAAATAGAAAGGAAACTGGGGGTCGACCATCTCAAATTCCCGCCACAGCTGATGATAGTACCAAAACCTCAACGTTACTTTGACCTACATTTTCCATGGTATCCATCCGCCTGGCCAGACAAGACCTAACCACTCACATCTCTCACTACGCCCACTAAACTGGTGAAATAAACAAAACTTGACCAAAGTAGGAAAGTTTAGACCCTATCTGTGCCTTCCAGCCCAAAAATCTCCAAAATGGTCCAAAATTTTCGAGAGAAAAAAGGATTTTAAAAGGCACTACAATCGTTCCCATTTTCAGGCCTCTACTGTGCAACGCAAATGTGGTGTCTGCCCTAAACGGCTGGTTTACAACAAGGTTTCTGACCAGTATGTTGGAAAACATCCAATATTAATGATAATTAAAAACAGCCGACTCAAGCTTGGCGAGACGCCTCCCACGCACTTGGGTTATATATATATATATACTGTTGAAGTCATGCAGAATGAGTCATGACTCTACCAGGAAATTCCGGCCAGTGCTGAAAGTTATAAAAATTACAGACCAAGTTCACAGATAAGCTTCAGTTCTGCCGACTTGTCTACTTCCTTGCAATGGACAGTGTGCGGTACTTTGGTGGGCCTGAGCAACAGCAGCAGTAAAAGTGAGTAGATATTTTTGTTTTTTAAGCCATGTTCATTGCCCTTGTATTCTGAACACCTATCGTGCCATGTCTTTGCTTCCCGGCATTTTACGTACTAATAGTAGACGTGAAAATGATCTCGAACCAGTTTAGCACATTGAACAGCTGATCTTCCACTGGTCGTGACAGAGAAGACTATGTACAGTACCTGTAAATACTAGTATTTACAGGTTCATTGTATCGGGGAAATTCCCCTAGCTCTTTTTTATTCGACAAGCGCAATGAACAGTGGATCACAGCTTAACGTCCCGTCCGAAGGACTGCGACCCTAAACAGTAGCGTGCATGTCGGGTGAGCGACATCAGCTGGTTTCGAACTCCCAACATCTTAGTCCACAGGCAGGACATCCCGGTAATAAGATATCCGTGGACTCGAGATTGAAAGAGTGACCCTGGTTGTGTTGTAGGTGGTGGAAAATGGAAGAAAAGTAGCCATTAGGCCACAGCAAGCAAATTTTATGGATTACATCTTCCGCAGATTCCAAATCTAATGCGAGCCGGCGAAAAAAAACAAGGCGGGCCGGAAAAAAAAGGTTCATACAATTTAAAATTTTGATTCAATCATTGTACAAATGGTTTTGATACGGACGAAACATCACATATACACGTGCACAGCCAGCATTACATATCACTACATCAAAGTAAGAAACAAAACGTTGAAACTCTTCTTAGTTATCTGCCATCCACGTTCTGGCATGGCAACAGACCTCTTTGCCCATTTTCAGTTGTACCCTATCCCCCAAACTTGTAGGAAGTCACGGCGACTGCTCTTATCACCGGATGTCTTGCCGGACATACTCATCAGGGCACAATTTCTGTTCCTCATTTTGACATAACACAAAATAGCAGAGCACAATTTCTGTTCCTCTTCTTGACATAACACATACTATCTGGGGAAAGTATCTTACAGTTAACATTGATTTTCTTACATTCCAATTCCTTGAGAGACGTCGCTGTTAAACATGGAGACAAATGACCTTTTCTCGTACGGTCAAAGACTCAAACAGAATGAAGGAACGAATTCGAAGAAAACTGCGTCGCCATTTCTGAGACTAGACAGGTTCTGGCCTACGTATTTGTTTAACAAGTTCGACTTTTGTTTTTTCTTGACATGACAGAGAACTAAACCTACCTCAAGCTACCCTAGAGTTCATATAAAGTGTACAAGCCTATACCGGATATCGATGTATCCAACACCCTACGAGCCTGTGAAAGAGCCCGTATGGCCCATGACACACTCGATGGAAGACAGGTTAGCTTGTTGCAACAAAAATTGTAAGACGAACATGACAACGACTTTTAAGGCATGCAATGCAATTTCAGGGTGGCAAATCTGGGTGGCAAAGTCTATTTTCTGGTCATTCTTTTCATGTAGTAAGTTGAAAATTCCCCGATATACCCTGTCGGAAAAATGTCGTACAACACGACGCATTCTCCCGATATAGTTGTACCCTGTCGAGGATGTGTCGTACAACACGACGCATTCCCCCGATATACTTGTACCCTGTCGGGGACTATCCCCCAAACGTGTAGGAAGTCGTCACGGCGACTGCTCTTATCACCGGATGTCTTGCCGGACATACTCAGATCACAATTTCTGTTCCTCTTTTTGACATAACACATAATAGCAGAGCAAAATTTCTGTTCCTCTTCTTGACATAACACATACTATCGGGGGAAAGTATCTTACAGTTAACATTGACTTTCTTACATTCCAATTTCTTGAGAGATGCTGTTAAACATCAAACAAAACATGGAGACAAATGACCTTTCCTACGGTCAAACAGAATGAAGGAACGAATTCGAAGAAAACTACGTCGCCATTTCTGAGACTAGACAGGTTCTGGTCTACGTATTTGTTTAACAAGTTTAACTTCTGTTTTTTTCTTGACATGACAGAGAAATAAACCTACCTCAAGCTACCCTAGAGTTCATATAAAGTGTACAAGCCTATACCGGATATCGATGTATCCAACACCCTACGAGCCTGTGAAAGAGCCCGTATGGCCCTTGACACACTCGATGGAAGACATGTTGGCTTGTTGCAACAAAAATTGTAAGACGAACATGACTACGACATTTAAGGCATGCAATGCAATTTCAGGGTGGCAAATCTGGGTGGCAAAGTCTATTTTCTGGTCATTCTTTTCATGTAGTAAGTTGAAAATGAAATGTATCTCAGGCAAAAATGCAATGTAGCTCAGGGAAAACGGACTTGTTTTGTATCGTAGGTTTGTACTAGCTATCTATATGTGGTACCAAAATAATAATGGGACCCCTCACATTACCTGTTTTGAAGCTATTTTAAACGCTTCAAGTATTAAAGGATGACGAAAATGTGCTAAGAAATGGTAGTAAATATCAGTAAGTCTCAAACAGATTTCCTTATCCACGGTTGTTTTGCCGCCTTGCCGCATCAGATGCCTGTATCAAGAAGCGGCTTTACCTGTGTGTACGGGTTTCCTACAGATGATAAGACTAGCCTCCTGTGGACTCCAATCCTTCCACGGACGGAATGGAACCTTCTCTCGGCAGCTATGTAGGATGGCCGGCTATATTAAAATAACACGTTAAAAACTCTTCCCCACCGCCGCGGGACCTGCACAGGAGGCTAGATAAGACGACGTCATTTCTGATTCTGTCAACGATTTGAAGTCTGTTGTTGCTACGATGCTTCCTCATTTCAGCACGATTCTCGTGTCAGCAGCAGCCCTTACCTCCGTTTCCTTGTTTTTCGTGAAGTAAATCTCAAACAGATTTCCTTATCCAGAATATTTCTTGTTTTGCCACGTTGAATTTGCACCAGGTGCCTGTATCAAGAATTTCGTTTCCGTGAGCTTAATTCATCTGGATACTAACTTTTCGGCATCCGGCGCTACCTGTTCAAATCATGCCTCATTACTCCCAACATACTCTGTCGGGGATGTGTCGTACAACACGACGCATTCCCCCGATATACTTGTACCCTGTCGGGGATGTGTCGTACAACACGACGCATTCCCCCGATATACTTGTACCCTGTCGGGGACTATCCCCCAAACTTGTAGGAAGTCGTCACGGCGACTGCTCTTATCACCGGATGTCTTGCCGGACATACTCAGAGCACAATTTCTGTTCCTCTTTTTGACATATCACATAATAGCAGAGCACAATTTCTGTTCCTATTCTTGACATAACACATACTATCGGGGGAAAGTATCTTACAGGTAACATTGACTTTCTTACATTCCAACTTCTTGAGAGACGCTGTTAAACATCAAACAAAACATGAAGACAAATGACCTTTCCTACGGTCAAACAGAATGAAGGAACGAATTCAAAGAAAATGACGTCGTCATTTCTGTAGACAGGTTCTGGTCTACGTATTTGTTTAACAAGTTTGACTTTAGTTTTTTCTTGACATGACGAAGACCTAAACCTACCTCAAGTTACCCTAGAGTTCATATAAAGTGTACAAGCCTATACCGGATATCGATGTGTCCAACACCCCACGAGCCTGTGAAAGAGCCCGTATGGCCCTTGACACACTTGATAGAAGACAGGTTAGCTTGTTGCAACAAAAATTGAAAGACGAACATGACTACAACATTTAAGGCATGCAATGCAATTTTAGAGTGGTAAATCTGGGCGGCAAAGTCAATTTAATTTTTCTGGTCATTCTTTTCATGTAATAAGTTGAATCAATCCTATCCAATATATAGCATACAGATATCTGTGAGGCAAAAATGAAATGTAGCTCAGGGAAAACGGGCTTGTTTTGTATCGTAGGTTTGTACTAGCTACTGTATCTATTGGTGGTACCAAAATAATAAAGGGACCCCTCACATGACCTGTTTTGAAGCTATTTTAAACGCTTCAAGTATTGAAGGATGACGAAAATGTGCTAAGAAATGGTAGTAAATATCAGTAAGTCTCAAACAGATTTCCTTATCCAGGACATTTCTTGTTTTACCGCCTTGAAATTTCATCAGATGCCTGTAACAAGCAGCGGCTTTTCCCGTGTGTGTACTGGTTTCCTACAGATTATAACTTATAATATAAGACGACGTCATTTCTGATTCTGTCAACGATTTGAAGTCTATCATGAAAGTTCATCTGTGTTGGTAGTTACATGTTTAAAGTTAAAACTTTTGGTCCAACACAAAAATTCTCTCACCTAGAGCTTTCGAACAGTCACTCTGGTCTTCCTCAGTAGATTGACCCAGTGAAGCTTGTCACGTGGGTTCTTTGAAGTGTGACGTCAACACTGGGTCAAAGGTATCTGGTAGACGATGTCGGCCCCCGTCGCGGTTCAATGAAGGTTGATGGGCCCTGATGTATATGGCTTCCGACCTTCACCCCTCTCAAGAAATAGTCTTGTCCAGTGTCTAAAATCCTTACAGTGTCAAGTGAAACAAAATGTCCGGGTGACTCTATGTGGATGTGTGGATGTTGAGACACCTCTGAACTGGCAGAGCTAGGCCGTGTATGTTCTTGAAACCTGGCTTTTAGAGACCTCTCTGTTTTCCCAATGTACGTTTCCTGGCAGTTAACATTTTCTTACATTCCAATTTCTTGAGAGACGCTGTAAAACATCAAACAAAACATGGAGACAAATGACCTTTCCTACGGTCAAACAGAATGAAGGAACGAATTCGAAGAAAACTACGTCGTCATTTTTGAGACTGTAGACAAGTTCTGGTCTACGTATTTGTTTAACAAGTTCGACTTCTGTTTTTACTTGACATGACGAAGAACTAAACCTACCTCAAGTTACCCTAGAGTTCATATAAAGCGTACAAGCCTATGTCGGATATCGATGCATCCAACACCCCTACGAGCCTGTGAAAGAGCCCGTATGGCCCATGACACACTCGATGAAAGACAGGTTAGCTTGTTGCAACAAAAATTGTAAGACGAACATGACTACGACTTTTAAGGCATGCAATGCAATTTTAGGGTGGCAAATCTGGGTGGCAAAGTCTATTTTCTGGTCATTCTTTTCATGTAGTAAGTTGAATCAAACCTATCCAATATATAGCATACAGATATCCGTGAGGCAAAAATGAAATGTAGCTCAGGGAAAACGGACTTGTTTCGTATCGTAGGTTTGTACTAGCTACCTAAAGGATGGCGAAAATGTGCAAAGAAATGGTAGTAAATATCAGTCAATATCAAACAGATTTCCTTATCCAGGACATTTCTTGTTTTGCCGCCTTGAAATTGCATCAGATGCCTCACGACAACACGACACATTCCCCGATATAGTTGTACCCTGTCGGGGACTATCTCCAAACTTGTAGGAAGTCGTCACGGCGACTGCTCTTATCACCGAATTTCTTGCCGGACATACTCAGAGCAAAATTTCTGTTTCTCTTCTTGACATAACACATACTATCGGGGGAAAGTATCTTACGTATACAGTTAACATTGACTTTCTTACATTCCAATTTCTTGAGAGACGCTGTTAAATATCAAACAAAACATGGAGACAAATGACCTTTCCTACGGTCAAACAGAATGAAGGAACGAATTCGAAGAAAACTGCGTCGCCATTTCTGAGACTAGACAGGTTCTGGCCTACGTATTTGTTTAACAAGTTCGACTTTTGTTTTTTCTTGACATGACAGAGAACTAAACCTACCTCAAGCTACCCTAGAGTTCATATACAGTGTACAAGCCTATGCCGGATATCGATGTGTCCAACACCCCACGAGCCTGTGAAAGAGCCCGTATGGCCCTTAAAAGACTAGATGGAAGACAGGTTGGCTTGTTGCAACAAAAATTGTAAGACGAACATGACTACGACTTTTAAGGCATGCAATGCAATTTCAGGGTGGCAAATCTGGGTGGCAAAGTCAATTTTCTGGTCAAACTTTTCATGTAGTAAGTTGAATCAATCCTATCCAATATATAGCATACAGATATCTGTGAGGCAAACATGAAATGTAGCTCAGGGAAAACGGACTTGTTTTGTATCGTAGGTTTGTACTAGCTATCTATGTGTGGTACCAAAATAATAAAGGGACCCCTCACATTACCTGTTTTGAAGCTATTTTAAACGCTTCAAGTATTAAAGGATGACGAAAATGTGCTAAGAAATGGTAGTAAATATCAGTAAGTCTCAAACAGATTTCCTTATCCAGGACATTTCTTGTTTTGCCGCCTTGCCGCATCAGATGCCTGTATCAAGCAGCGGCTTTACCTGTGTGTACAGGTTTCATACAGATGATAAGACGACGTCATTTCTGATTCTGTCAACGATTTGAAGTC